TTGCTAGCGCTGCTATACGTTTCCTCAGCAAGGAGTCCTCTAAGAAAGACAAGAAAGTTCTGGGGAAATGGAAACCCTAGGCCTACCCAACGTTTGTCTAGCTGTGTGTTGTGGTACGCGTCCACACACGCACCATGGAGAATGCGTGGAGATCACACAACAATCTCCAAGAATCATGTCTCTCCTTCCACTAGTTTGGGTCCCAGAAATCCAACTTATGTCTTTGGAAACAGGTACCGTTATTTACAGAGCCATCCCACCAGCCCAAAGCTGTAGTTTTTAAAAAGAACTTTGACAACTGAAAAAAATAAAAACAAGAAATTGAGAACTGTTTTCCTTTGAGGAACTAAACCTAGTAAGGTTTCCATCGAAAATAAGCTTAAATGTTAGTGACATCAACATTTTCAGCCTGTAAACTGACAGCGATATGATCTCACCATTAGAATCTGATGACTGGGGGTGTTTATAAGTTCTGAGAGTAAAAGTGAATGTCGTGAAACAGCTTTACAATAAAAGTAAACTTAAATGGAGGCCCATTGCTGCCTTACTCCTGTCTGTCTGGGACTGTGTGTGCATCCCAAAGCACTCACTCTCGTTACTCATGAGCAACTGCAGTCTTTGGGGGAGACACACCCACGGTATCCAGTGAGTGCCACCTTCCGTGTCTGGCATGAAGCATCTTTGGTTCACAGTAACAGGCTTGCGATGATCACATAGCTGATTTGCCACGACTCGAAGTTTACTACGTATTGCAAGATAAAGCCAATGATTAATTGCAACCCTGTTCCTGGGACCTTTGATTGACAGCCTGACAGAAGAAGACACAGACAGATGTAAGACACGCATGCTAAGATAAAAAGCCTGGTGGGCCTGAGTTCTAACATAAAGACTCAGTTTAGACATCATGATGACCTTGTTTATAAACAACACTCATGGCATATATTGCTTATAGTCTACCTGTGCCCACTCTAAAGGCCAAGAAACAAAAATCCAAATTTTAATAATGAATGCCACAGTGCCATGGTTTATGACCAACTAGAGGAATCAAGACCCTTTGGAGAATATCTACATACAGGTCCACAGGAGGCCATAGATATGTGCTGAAATCCCTATAATACCTATAATAAGGGAGGGAGGGAAGGAGGGAGCGAGGGAGAGAGGGAGCAAGGGAGGGAGGGAGGGACCGAGGGAGGGAGGGAGAGAGGGAGGGAGAGGAGGGAAGGAAGGGAGCAAGCTATCCATGACCCCTACTGAGCATCCAAAAGCATGCAAAGCCAATGTGAACAGGCTTGCACAGGCTAAAATTAGGCATTCAGAGCATATGTTATACTTTATTATAAATGGAATTACAAAAATTCAGATACCCTTAACTGTTAGTATGAAAACATTAGAAGTTATGAACATGAGGGTCACTTCAGAGGATGTCAAGAAACTAATGCATCAGAACCAGTCAGTCTTGGGTCTGATGGTAACCGACGGAGGGTAAGTTTCTCTCTGAAGAGCGTACCAGCAATCGAAAGATAAAACACCACCATTTTGCAACCCAATACTCTTCCTCCAGACACTTGGCACTAGTGGTTTCCACCATAAAAAAAGAGAAAAACGTCGGATATTCTTCCTTTACAAGCATCCCAATGATGTGCTTGGCAAAGAAATAAATAGTAATTGGATCTGAATCCAGTCACCCTCGATACATAAAAGCCAGTGTAGAAAAAATAACATGAAGAGAAGTCAATAAAACTAATTATATGGTAGAAAACCCATGTGCCTAGGTTTCCTCCACAAGAAGTGGTGCAGAGAAACAGCTATATGGGTAAATACACACACAGGGAATACACCACTTGATTACAACACATGGACAATAGGTTAATTCTGACTCAAAGCACTACTTAAAATGCATATACAAGACAACTGTTGACCATTACAAGCCAAGGAAACATGTAAAGAATAATATGAAGGAAGTGATTACATTCCATGGAGGATTTAAGAGTTTTTCTTTTGTTTTTTAAAAATACACAGTAAGATATTTAAGCATGGGATACAATGAAGTCTGAGGCTCCCTTCAAAATAATGCTGGGGTGGCGGGGAGGAGAAAATGTGTGGGATACGGCTGAACTACGACTGGTCCTAAGTCAGCAATCCCTCAAGTTGAGGGAGAAGATGAGGAGGCTGTCAGGCTCTGCTGTGCGAGTGACATTTTCCTTCTAACAAGTTTTTCAAAGACATTGTTCAGGCTGTGGATGCAGCTCGATGTGTAAGAACCCTTGATGCAAAACCAAACTCAGTTTAAATCCCCAAAATGCATGCGAAAGCCTGGCAGGGCCCTGAGCATCTGTAAGCCCCAAAGTGACCCTGGCAGCTCATTGACCAGGCAGCTCAGCCCACATGGGAAGTTGCAGGCTCAATGAGAGATTCCTTCTCAAACAGCAAGGCGGGGAGTGACAGAGGAGAAACTTCCGCCTTCAGTCTTCACGTGTGTACAAGCAAGCGTGCTACTCAGAGATGGTCTGAAATTTGTCGTGGTGTGCCAGAGAACCATGGAAAAATCATTACAGTCAGCACACGCAGGGCTAAATTTAGACCATAATGGAGACTGGAAGACTTCGGGGTCATTTTTGTCAACAGCATGCAGACCAGCCAAACCCTACTTGTCATCCCTTCCACAGAGTTCTAAAGAACTTGTATACTATTTTTTTGTTTGTTTTTGGTTTTACGAGACAGGGTTTCTCTGTATTGTTTTGGAGGCTGTCAGACCAGCCCGGCCTCGAACTCACAAATATCCACCTGCCTCTGCCTCCTCGAGTGCTGGGATTAAAGGCGTGCGCCACCACCACCTGGCCAGAACTTGTATACTTTAATTCTCCTGCCTCGAGCAGCCAGTGAAATAACAGTGGAAAAGGAACGAAAGAGGCAAAAAAGAACCCTAAAATCACTTGACCTTTAAAGAAGGGACTTTCTCTTTGGTGGATATCTGCAAACTGATTTTTACCAAGACATCAAAACTGACAATATAAGCAGCGTTACTCATCACAGACACAGGAAACAACCGCCCCCACACACACACACGTGCTATTCTCTGGTCGCTCTACAACCATGCTTTTGTGACAGCGCCGTCTCAATGAACGCTCACAGTGAAAAGCCAATGTGCTTTCAAGCACCATGAACAAATACCACACTAAGCTCTTCTCTGATACCCCCAAATGATCCTTGGGCTTAATCGTTGTAACTGAGGGGGTACCCTAAGGGATAGCTCTAATGAAAAACCCAATACACCTAATTAATTGCATTGCTCGGGGCTAGTGAGAGACCAGAGGCTTCTGGAGCCCCAGGAGGATGGTCATATTCATACAGAACGGTGCTATACGTGAGTGCAGTCCCTGCCAACACCAGATCTGCCTGCCTCTTTGGATGGCTTACGCTATACCGGTTTGGATCTAACTTTTGAGGTTCTCCCTGCAGAAGACGGACTCATATTACCGTGTTGTTCTGTCTTGCATTTTAGGTGAAGCTGTATTTTAGGGGCTCAGAAGTAGAAAATGCTAGGTGAAAATCAGACCGCACTACCAATAGGTTCCTTGGTCCTCCTGCATGTGTACACATGTGTATATGTGTGTTTGTGTTTGTTTCTGTGTGTGTGTGTGTATGCATATCATGTATATCATAAAGTATAATACAGGCAGTTTATTACTAAGGTAAAAAGAGGCACTCTTTAGGGCGGAAGAGGGGGGGATATTTAGCTGACAAAACAGACCATAAGAAGTCCCCTGCCAGGACTGTTCGCTCATGATGGGCTCTGAAATTACACCTGGAGATCGCAGATCCCAACTCCTCAGCCAATTGCCCAATAGTTACAGCTTTCTATTCGATACTATCGAGCAGTAAAAGGACAGGCAGGCGTTTTAAGGAAATCAGAGTGTTAGTACTGCAATTACAGTTGAAGCTCAATCCCTTCATAGTATTGCACAAATAAGCAAAAAATCCACATATAATTTAAAACTTCAGGCACAGGTTTCCGGATCCGCTTTGGCAATTCTTTGTTAGTGCTGAATGTGGGCCAAGATTGATCGGTTTGTAATTTCTCGCCCCTTGCTTTGCTCTGGCTGTCTTTCTGGACAGCCAGGAAACCCAGCAGGTGGTAGAGTTGCCTGAGAGGTGAGGACCATGGAGGAGAGGAAGTGGAGATGGGGACGAGGAGAGTCTGCAAGTAGGGATGGTGATTTGAGAATGGGACAGACATGTGCATGCAACAACATCAACAGAAAAGAATGCAGGCTGGGTTTCTGAATAACTGAGCAAAGGGTATTTATACCTCATTTCTCTTCAAGAGTCCAAGTGCTAATGATTTTAGGTGATACATAGTGTCAACATGGTATTTTGATTAGTGTAGCGGTCAGGATCACACACAGGCTATCAGTACGCAGGAACCTGTGTGATCCTGCTAGAGGGTCAACAGTCTATCCTGCCCCTGGTCTCAGGGAGGAGGAGGAAGCCACCATTCCCAGCTAAGGAGGGTTAACATCCTAAGATTCCTCAGTATTTCTGGTTTTTTGTTTTTGTTTGTGTTTTTTTTTCTTTTTTTTTTGGTTTTATGAGACAGGGTTTCTCTGTATTGTTTTGTTGGCTGTCAGTCCAGCCCGGCCTGGAACTCACAGAGACCTGCCTGCCTCTGCCTGCCAAAATTTTTAGCCCAAAATCCAGTTTCATCAATAACAAATTGACCTACACAGGAAGAGACCTAAAGACATTTTAGAGATCTGTCTGCCATTCTCGGAGCATCAAGCCTATTAAAACGAAGCTAACAGAAGGCGGTGTAGGCGGAATTAATGGGGCCTCATGCTCATCTCACGCAGTAATCGTAATAATCAAAACCAGGAAGCCACCGCTTTAAAAACAAAAACTCTGCTCAATTGATGGCTGGCAAAGGGACCCAGCAAACGATTCACCATAAAAGACAATAAAAGACAATAAAAGCCAACGAGGCTGTCTCCAAGAGCACTCACCTGTCTTTCCCGGTTTCCTCCTTAAAAACTGCGTCGCAGTAACTCATCCGTTGCTCTGTGGTCACGTAAATCTGCGCACTCGGGTACTTATCAACTGTCTTTTTCAACATGTTGTAGACAATGCCGTTCCCGTCCTTCCGCATGTTGCGGAAAGGGCCCCAAACGACATAAACGGTGGCGCTTGCCTCCTTGAAGAAGTAGTCGGGGTTTTTTAGCAAGAGAGGAACGCTGGTGTGTGACACGACGCGAACCATCGTCACGTGGCCAACGTCCTCCTCGAAGCCCTTGGTGGGGGCATTGTTCATTCTCCAAATGCAGGAAGAGTGGTCTATCTCCTCCCCCACCTTCTGTCCAGCCATCTGACCTGAATTTGACACTATGGCGCAATGGCCACAGTCCAGCTGCAAAGGCTGAAAAAGAGAAAAGTGGAGAGTGTCGTCAAGTAAGTTCCCGGGGAACCAGAACGTAACTTGCTGGGTAACCCCTGGGGATGGAATTATCTCCCGTGCATACCTATCCTGCATCTCTCTGCTGCAGGTTATCAAGCTGACAGTGGGATTTTATTAGAAAAGCAAATACTGTTGGGAAAAAAACACTTCCTTTCTGTATCCCTGCGCTAGTTTAACACTAGGTGGAAAACCAGCTGTTTGTTTTCACTCTAAATCATGAGTTTTATACATCCAGATGACCTGCAATTTGAAGTGAAATAAGAGAATATGGAACTGCTTGATTTCTATGATAAGGATGGCGGCCATACAGAGAAACTCCGGTGCCGCTTACCTAGGTGTGTGTGTTGTACTTTGGAGGTTATACATGCATGGGTAGGGTGGCAGTTGGTAAAAATGCAATGAAGGCAGCAGATGATAAAACAGGCCCTGAAGGAGACACACACAACCCAGACCCACTTAAGACAAGCGACACGGTTACACTGATGTTTAAGAATCCCCAAGCCTTCGTACTAATGGTCCTTTAAGCTTAAATTAGTCTTAGATGGACAAGGAAAGTCCTCTCTTGAGCACAGAGGCAGGAGTGCTCACACCTTGAAATCCTGAATAACTCCCCCATGGAACTAACAGAGTCAGAAGCAAAAACACTGATGCTCGGGACTCATCGCTAATACAAATTCCATGGTGGAGCCAAGCCCACTCCTTCCAGGTCCAGATTCTCTGGTCTATGTCTTCTAAGTCTAGATACTTCTGTGTATGTATGTGTGTGTGTGTGTGTGTGTGTGTGTGTGTGTGAGTGCATTTGTGCCTGTGTTTGTGTACATTTGTGTGTGTGTATATGTGTATGTGTATGGGTGTGAGAGAGAGTGTGTGTGTGTGTGTGTGTGTGTGTGTGTGTGTGTCTGTGTCTGTGGGTGTGTGAGAAAATGTCTATGGAGGCCAGGACAGGGAATCAGATCCCACGTGACAGAATCCCAGGCTGCTGTGAACCACCCGACACGGTTGCTGGGAACCACATGGAGGACCTCTGCCGGGGCAGCGCGTGTCAGTAACTCTCAGGCCCGCTAAGTCTACTCTTCTACTTCATGTGCAGGCCTCTCTGCTCTCAGTGTCTTTTCATTTCGTTGTCTTGCCCCCTAAAATAACCACGTGCATTACTTTTGCCGCTGCTTCTCCACAGGAAGAAATTACTCCATCCTCAAAGCAGTGAAAGAACACACTTTGGCAATATGCATCTGTCTCATCCACCTTCTGTAAGATTGTCGATGAATTTGAACCCCAACGTGTTTTGTGCCTAATGGAGAATATCTTCTCTCTCACAGGATCCTGTCCTCACTTTCCCCATCACACCTGCCATCTAGACAGTGAAGTTTCATAAGAATAACGTCTTTGCCTCGGACCTCAACAGAGGTCCCTTGGATATACCGGTGGCTTAGTTTGCTAAATTAGAAAATGAAAGAAATGGATTTAAGATAATCTATTGAGACTTCCAATACTTTATGTCCTCCTATTTCTTTTTAAATACTTCAAGACAAACACTCACAGTGCCCAAATACTCTCCGATGTGTGGTCTTCCCAGGGGCTACACTCGTAGAGAAAACTTTCTTTTCCCTCCCCAGAAACTAACAACTGTTGACAGCCCCATTTCTAGGAGTGAAGAGGAAAGAGAAGTGGGCATAGGGAGTATCAGGAACAGGGTGAATACAGTCGCAACAGTTACCACACTCTCTAAGAATCTCAAAAGAGAGGGGGAAAAAAGCAACCAAGAGGAAATACGCCAAATAATCAGGAGGGTTGAGCTCAGCTGTGACCATCCTGATCAGAAAGATGCCAGGTGACACAGTTCCGAAAACCACCTGGACAACGACTGCAGAGTTGCAACTGGCCGCCTCTCCTTACAGCTGTGTGGGTGCCTGCCACACTGAGCTCAGAAATCATGCACTAGGATTCCCGATGGGAGTGAGATGTAGCATTTAAAGTTGCACTTCCATGCATGGACACATCGTGGATCAGCACCCTGTGTAACACACTCAGCGGTGATCGGCTCGTAGAAGGGGAATGTGTCTGTCACAGAAATTCATACACATGGGGGCGCGCTGGTGCACGTGAGCGTGTCTGAGTGTGCGCGCACACCGGGGAGCAGTGGAGAGCTGCCAGAAGGCACTGCTGGGAAAAGCTGTGACTGAAGGGACTGACCATGTAGTCAACATAAGCAAAGGCCACCGTCAACACCTGGACAATGCGCTCCACAGAGCCAACGCAGACAGCAAGCAGCTATTGGGGTGAGAGAGGCGGCAGGCATGATTCACGGGGGCCCTTTGACTTCCCGAGCAATGGGGAGATTTGGCAAAGGAGCAGATGACCGAACTGTGTTTTACCAATGTTGGCCGTTACACAGGAAGTTGGACCACAAGGGAAATGGTTTAGAACAGGGAGAGCAAACCATTGCTCCTACCCAGAAATAGAGGGTAATGGGAGGACGCCCAGAATGGTGATGATGGTGAGATGCTTGCCGACAACCGCTGGGCACATTTCTGATTGGTCCGGACACGGAACATGTGAAGGTAGACCTTAAAGGGGGGTGGTCAAGGGTAATGGCAGCTTCCTGCCACAGCCACCAGAGACTACAGCAGCCTTGGACTAAGATGGAAAGAAGGCGTTGGGAAATCAAACCAGGGAGAGAAACCAGGAGCTTGTTTCCAGAGCAGGCAGGTGGGAGATGCCTAGAGCAAAGACCCCTACAGTACATCTCACACCAAATCTGCTCAAACTGCCTTAAATGTTTGACTTGCCCTAAGTATTAAAGTCTTCACGATGAAGACTAGAAAAAGGCAAAGAAAGAATAGAACTAAAGTTATTCACATATTCATCACTCAATGATGACAGCACACCACATTTTCCTCTTTATACATAGGCTACTGTAGGCAGACTGAAAAAAACTACACAATTCGGTGACTTTGGTATTTTGTGTTGACCTTTCCCATATCAGTAAATAATCCATGGAGAAAATTTTAATGCCCACTATTTGCTCAATTATATAGATATGCCACAGTGTATCTATTTGCTTACTTCTGGGCATCCGGCTATTTTCCGATTTACTTTTTAACTACAAAAAAAAAATACTTCGATAAACATCTTTGTGATTCCTGGGGTATTTGGGAGCCATTTGGAGTTATGGTGTTAGCTTAAACTTTTTTCTTTTCCTTTCTATTTACTCCCATGATGTGTACACATCTGGCAAAGGCATCTGTGTGAGTTGTCAAAACTAAGAATTACAAAAAAACACAACCTGCTGGAGCCACCCGGGTCCGTATGTAAGATGCCTTAGAACACTGCAGTCAGGCTGGAGAAATAGCTCAGTGCTTCCAAGTACTTATTGCTCTTGCACAGAGAAGCGACTCAGGGTCCAGCACCCACAAAGTGGCTCACAACCATCTGTAACCCTGGTTCTTGTGGATCCTGTACCCGATTTTAGACTCTCTCAGCACTCCGCATGTACATGTACAATAAAAATAGACAGCCCTTTAAAATAAATACCCTATTGGATCACCAGGCATGGCAGTGGAGATCTGCAACCCACACAATTGAGAAGTACAGGCAAGGAGGATCCTGAGCTCAAGGTCATTCTCAGTGATCCATAGAATTGGAGATTAGTCTGGGCTACCTGTTGCACTATTAAACAAACAGCAACATTGTGCTGAAGAAATTGTATATCACGTTGATGAACTTGTATCCCAGACTCCGGGATACAAGAAGTCTGCCCCAAGTGGATGAGTATATTAAGACATTTGAACACGGGGTTTCTACGCCAATTTCATCACCAAAACTATTAAATGAAGGTATAACGGTGTGACTTTTAGGGTCAGGTGTTGTCTGAGGCATTATCTTGTCATTTAGAAGTCTACATTCTTTGAGACAACATGGAAGAGTGAAATCTTCTTGCAACTTTGGGTAGAGCTTGACATCCATTAGCCACAACCATGTCCTCCAAGCTCATCCTGAATCATGTACACCAATGCCCAACATAAACCATGTATTTATTGCATGGCTTGCTCCGACTCCCCGCCATCACGCATATGAGCAACAGGATTACATTCCACTGACCATTCCAACAAGGTCCTTAGATAGGTAATAAAGCCATATTTGGGGTTCCGCATTCACATAAAGAAAAGTCAGAAAGAAAAGCCTTGGATGAGTTCTACAAAATGTGACAACTTGCGTTGGATTTCTGAGCCATTACAATGAATTAGCCAGTTCTGTGGCAACACAGCTTCATTTAGCTAATAAGAATCAGCAGGCTGGTCTCACTTGACAATTGTAACCTCTGAAACTGATCCATTAAGACATCCCAATCTGTTCCACGACAACACAGGGAAGCCACAGCTACACAGATGACGAGGTCAGCAGCTGGCTAACGACTCAAAGGCCAACAGCGGGGACAACAGTCGGTTGTTTGTGTGGAAAAATACGTGCCGGAGAAGAGGGCTTTCAGTGCAGTGGCTTTGGTTGTGGTGACCTTTGGACTGACCGCTTCTAGTCACTGTTCACTGAATGGCAGTGTCGCCATCTCTAGAGTCTTCAGAGGTCCTGGCGGGTGCATCGCTGGCCCCAATCCTGCCACGCTCTCTGACTTCCTGGGTAAGGCACCAGTGCACATGCTCACAACGCTATTGACCTGAAGCTTAGGGAACCATTTCTAAGTATGGCAGGAGAGCAAGGCTGATAGATGAAACCTTCCAAACCAGAACAGGAAGCTCCGAGCTGTAAGACGACTTGGCCATGTTCCCAAGGATGCATCCATGTGTTTGAAGGAACCATCAAACTAGTAGGAGCCAGGGTCAAAGGAAAGAGCTTAGGTACACACGGTTGATCTGGCCAAGACCTGTCTCTCCTACCTACCCTGTTTCTTTCGTTGTCTTTGTCCTCGAGTCTCTTGTCTCAGCTTTCTTTGTTAAATGCTTTGT